CAGTGGCATAACCATACTGCTGGTGTCTGATGGTTTGTTGAGGGGAATAGTTAATGATTAAAAGTCTTTTTTAAATATTTTGACCAATTTTTCATGCTTGTATCTGGTAATCTGAGCAACTTATGTGAAGACAACAATTTGCAGTACAGCATCCATTGGTGAATTCCTGTAATCCTGCCTAGTGACACTATGTATTGTCTCTAATGTTCTCTTAAATTATTATTTTTTATTCCCTTTAATGATTTGATCAGTCTTTTACTCTTACATCTGGTAATCTGAGCAACTTCATTGAAGATAACAATATGTAATATAACAACCACTGTTAATCTCTATCATTTGGTTTGAAAGCCTGTATCATTTTTAATGTCCTTGCTTTGTGTTATTAGTATTTTGCTATTATTCTTTTTTTGTATTGCTTTCTTTAAAATAAAAAATGTTTTAGAAAAAAAGTTTAGTTCATGAAAAAGAAGTACATTTAAATGATTAATAGATAATACTTCATTGTAAATTGAATCTGTTCTCAAAGGTGCTTCCACATATTAATAAATGCTTTTTAAAAACTAGGTTCATATAGCTCTCTGATTCTCTCATTAACAGTGAAATGGAAGAAAATCAGACAATGGTCACAGAATTCATCCTACTGGGATTTTGTCTTGGAACAAAGATTCATATAGTCCTTTTTGCAGTTATCTTTCTCTTGTACATTTTCACCCTGCTGGGGAATGGGCTCATCCTGGGGCTCATCTGCCTGGACAGCAGACTGCACACCCCCATGTACTTCTTCCTCTCCCACCTGGCCATTGTGGACATCGCCTACACCTGTAACACGGTGCCCCAGATGCTGGTGAACCTGCTGAACCCAGACAAGCACATCTCCTTTGCTGGCTGCATGACCCAGACCTTCTTCTTTTTGACTTTTGCTATTTCCGAATGTCTGCTCCTGGTGGTGATGTCCTATGACCACTATGTGGCCATCTGCCAGCCCCTCCAATATTGTACCATCATGGACTGGAGTGTCTGCAATACTTTGGTTACCACTTCCTGGGCCTGTGGCTCGCTTCTAGCCCTGCTCCATACAAGCCTCATCCTCAGGTTGCCCTTCTGTGGACCCAATCAAATCAGCCACTTCTTCTGTGAAATCCTGACTGTCCTCAAGCTGGCCTGTGCTGACACCTGGCTCAACAAAGTCGTCATCTTTGCAGCCTGTGTGTTTGTCTTAGCGGGGCCCCTGTGCCTGGTGGTTGTGTCCTACACCCGCATCCTGGTTGGCATCCTGAGGATCCAGTCAGGGGAGTGTTGCAGAAAGGCCTTCTCCACCTGCTCCTTCCACCTCTGTGTGGTGGGGATCTTCTTTGGCAGTGCCATTGTCATGTACATGGCCCCAAAGACCCGCCATCCTGAGGAGCAGCAGAAGATCCTTTTCCTATTTTATAGTTTTTTCAACCCCATGGTGAATCCCTTGATTTACAGCCTGAGGAATGCAGAAGTGATGGGTGATCTGAGGGGGTTGCTGTGCAAGGTAAGTCATTCCCAAGAGGTGTGACCTTGGAGTCACCATTGTGAGTTAGTATTCTCCTGGAGTCACTGTGCCCAATTTCTGCCAAATCCACAAAACTTCAAAAGTCTCTTCTGTGTACCTGAATTGCTAAAGAATATGACTTCCCTCCTCTACGCAGTGAAAATTTAAGATGTTGTGATAAATTGAGGATTTACTAGACATGACTTTTTTATTTTTTATTGAATTGCATATCTGTACAATTAAAAATTATTTTAGTTTTTGGATCCCCAAAGTTGAATACATTCTATCAATGTCTGTGACTATATAAAGTCACTAACTATATAGCTTGTAAAATTTGGAAGAGAAAAGATGGTGATCCCAAAACTCAGTGACAAACCTGTCCTTTCTTCCAAACTGTACATACGAAATCCACAAAACTCAGAGGAATTTAGTTACTCATGGGTCATGCCAGTTAGAAAATATGTAGGAATTATGGACTCATTGATATGTTAATCAGTATTCCAAATGAAGACCCAAAATGGAAACAGGATGCACCCAAAAACCAAGAGAAGAAGGAGTCTTACACATAGGTTAAGAAAAGTGGATATCATTTGTGAACTTGCACATCAAGGTACAAGCTGATAGCTAATAGAGGGGTGAAACTGAGCACTTTCCTCTTGAGGAGGCTGAAAATGTGTATCAGAGCAATTATGTGGGACATTGTAGTATTCCCCCAAAAGTAGAATGTTGAGCTGTGCATTTTATTTGTATGTAGTTTTTCCAGTGTCTTTGTATCAGCACATCCAGTGTCTTATGCAAAAACAGAATATTTACAGAGGGAGTAAGTTCCAAGCTGTCCATCTAGCCATAGTGGTGGATTCATCTTTACTAACTAAATCCATTGGAAACCAATGATTAAGGATGAGTCCCCGGGGCTGGGGATGTAGCTCAGCAGCACAGTGCCGGCCTGGCAAGCACAAGGTCATGAGTTCAATTCCCAGTACCAAAAAAAAAAAAAAAAAGAATGGGTCCCAATATATCTTAGTTGGCTTCTTGGGGTATGGGATATTAACTGTAAAATACTTTTAAAAATCTGCCTTGCAATTAGGATGTTCACTCATATCCAAAATCTCTCTCAAGTTTATCATGAGGCGAATATAAGACTAGTGAAAAAATAAGTGTGCATTGTTCACTTGGGTGATTCTTCATTACTGTGGGTCAGTGGACATAATCAGGCAGAGCTTTCTGGATGTAAAAATAGAATAGGTTTTACAATAAAATCTAATGTTTTGAAAATCACTTATAAAGTACCATACACTGTATATTGATAGCACTTCACATTGTCAATTAAGTTTGTCATCATGACAAGTCTATGAGGAAGGTTCTGTTATCACACTATTTTATAAATGTATATGCCAAAACGTACCACATATTGGACTTTTACCGAGTCTGGGTTCCAAGCACTCTGTATGGAAGCAAAACATTGTATAATAATATATCAATATCAATGTTATCAAACAAAGAGCAAGGCAAATTATCCCAAGGTAGGATGTGTTAAATGAAGAAAGCTTTCAGTAGTATGTATTACAATGAGCTGATCTGTGCTCCACAAAGCCTGGTGAACTAGTAGCCAAGTATGAGAGCTGTTTGGCTCCTATAAGGACCCTGCATGGCTGAGCAATGTCTCTCCTATAGAGAGCCACAAAATGCAATGGACTTTTGGAGAAACAGAAAAGACAAAGTAATTGAGAGCAGAGTGGTCTTAGTGAGAATGCACGTTTTTGAGACTAGAACAAAGATACTACTAGTAATCATTCTCTCTCTCTCTTCTCTGTCTCTCTCTCTCTGTCTCTCTATCAATCTGTCTCTATCTCTCTATATATTTCTCACTTACTCACTTTATGTCTCTCTTTCTGACTCTCTCTCTCTCAAAAGTGACCCATCTACATTTGCTAAAGAGAAATGATGAATTCTAAACGAATATATTAAAATGGGTGTATTAACAAAAAAGAATTCTAATTATAAGGGTTAGGGGTACACTACCAGGAGACTCTAGAGGATGAGCTGCACAGTCAAAAGGTAATAATGGAAGGGAAGAGAGATGGTACTATTTCAAACTGGTGACTGACCAACTAAATAGAACACAGTGCATTTTTCATAGAATTTTATCTAAGAACAGCTTTTTTTAACAAAACAAAGGAATTTAGATTTCCTTTTCTTCATATTCAAAGTTGTTTAATCTTTCAGATTGTGTGTTCAGAAAAAGTATCACTTGAAAAATAGATGGTATCAATCAATTTAAAATATGGCACCCATTTGCTATCTTCATGTCTATTAATCACTTGTAGTTCTAGATTTACTGTCTTTGCAGAGTTTCTTCTAGCGACTATTAATAATATAGCTCATTCATAATGATCACAGAGGAATTTCAAAAGTAGTAGGAGAAGGCACCTAGTATGAAAATGACAATAATGTATATTCCTCTGTGTCATACAGGACAGAGTTTGTGTGCTTTTCAGATCTACAGGATAGGCACAGTTTTCAATGATAAATTAATGAAAGATACCTTAAAATAATAAGAACATAAAAAATGGATCCCATGGCTGCTAGATGACACAAAAAACATTAATCTAGGAGTAATAGGAACTAATGAAAAATCAGAAGACAGCATAAAGTGCATTCCTCAACTAAGGAATTAAACAAAAACAAAACAAAGAAAAAAATAGAAAATGAAAAGACACAGGACCAAGATGCAACCTCAGACTTCCAGCTCACCAAAGGCAAATCCAGGGGCCAATGAGATATAAGAGTTTGAAAACCAACCAGCTGGACTCTCTGAAGTGGTAACAGTGGAAATAACAAAGTAGGTGAATGAGGCTCTGGAAAAGAAAGTAAAAACCCTCAAATCAGATATAATATCTCAGATAACTATAGAGATGATGACACTAAGGAAGAGCATGGATAGTGAATCTAGAGTAAATATAGATTTTTTAAAAATCAAGGAGCTTACAAAAATGATGAAAACCACAAATGCCCAATATGGAAAAAATATAATTCATGAAACAGATTCAAACAGATATACAGGAGATTAAATATTCTATTGAAAGTACACACAGCAGAATGAACAAATGTGAGGTCAAAATATCAGATCTAGGAGACAACATTGGGGTTAGCAATCATGAAAGGAACAATTTCTTAAGAATACCAAGGTACCATGAAAAATCAATCCAAGAGCTGCTAGAGAATGCAAAGAAGAACAACATAAGACTGATAAGAGTCAATGAAAAAGTACAAGATACTGCAAATGACATAAAAAAATGTTCACCGAAGTAATGGCAGAAAACTTCACAGGCATGGAAAAGGAATTTGACATCTCATAGATAAGTGAGACATATAGAGCACCAAATAGGCATGATAAAAAAAAATCTATCTACACCAAGTCACATAATACTCAAGATTTCCGAAATTCAAGAAGAACACAATATTAAATGCTATTAGGGAAAAGAAACAAATCACCTATAAAGGAAAACCCATCAGAATCATAGCAGACTTCTCAACACAAACCCTTAAGTCTAGGAGAGCTTGGCATGAAGTACTTCAAGGCTGAGAAGAAAACAAATTCCATCCCAGATAGATGTATACCACAAAGCTATCTTTTAAAATTAATGAAGAAATAAGATACTTCCATGATGAAACCACCTGAAGAAATCCATGATGAAACCACCTGAAGAAATCCATGATCACCAAAACAGCACTCCAAAATGTTCTAGGGACATTCTAGAAAAAGATAATGAGGACTATAACACCAGCTCTATAAACCCCAACAGTATGAACCTACCAGGAAAGGAAAGTAATTAAATGGAGGGGAAAGACAGGGAACTAACAACAGAAAAATAACATGACAAGGATAAGTTAATACATATCAGTTATAAGAATCATTGTACATAAATGGTCTCAATTCACCAATCAAGAGAAACACGCTGGCAGAATGGATCAAAACACAGGATCCAACAATATTCTGCATACAAGAAGCACATTTAACTCAGAAATTCATAGACTGAATGTCAACAGATGGAAAACAGTACTTCACATGACAGGAACCTAGAAGAAAGTAGAGTTAGCTATTATATTGCAAACAAACTAAATGTCAAGCTAAGACTGATCAAAAGAGATGAAGAAGGTTACTACATCCTTGTCAAGGGAGAACTCCAAAAGGAAGAGATAACACTCATAAATATATATGCATGAAAATACCAGTGGACTCAACTGTATAAAACAAATATTAACAGACATGATAATTCAAATAAGAAATAACACAATTTTAATGGGGGACCTGAATACCTCACTGTCACAAGGAGATGAATCAACTAGACAATAAATCAACAAAGAAATATCAGAACTTAACCAAACCTGTGAACAATGAACTTAGTAGATGCGTACATAGTGTTACACCCCACAACATCAGAATACATTTTTCTCACTTGCAGATGGGATGTTCTCCAAAACAGACCACATACTGACTCATAGAACATGCTTAAGTAAATGCAAAGGAATAGAAATTATCCTATGCATATTATCAGACCACAGTGCAAAGAAATTGAAAATCAATGGCAAAAAAGCTACAAAAATTATATAAAGACATAGAAATTAAATAACATCCTCCTGAACAACCAATGGGTCACAAACGAAATTATAGAAGATATTAGACAGTCTCTACCATTGAATAATAATACCAATAAACATACTAGAACTTATAGCATACTAGAACTTATGCAAACAAAGCAGTCCTACAAGGGAAATTTATAGTGGTGAATTCCCATATCAGAAAAAGAGTAAGCGCAAACAAATAGCCCATGTTGAACCTCAGGCTTCTAGAAAAAGAAGAACAAGTCTAGCCAAAGCTCATATGAGGGAGAAAATCATAAAGATCAGAGAAGAAATTAATGCAACTGAGACTAAGAAAACAATACAAAGTATCTTTTCAACATTAAATAAAGTTGATAAAAGCTTACCCAAATTTATCAAAAACAAGAAAAAAAAAACCC